AAATTTCCGCTTCGTGCTGAGTGACATTCAGCTCCAGAAACAAACACAGGGTCCCCCCCTCCCCCCCTAATACACGCACTCCGTACTGGATATGGATTCACGAAAAAGACAAACGAGACATACAGCTAAATCCGAGACTTTTTTTCTGGTTCGGACCCGACTTGACTGAAAAAATTTTCCTTTTCCGTCTTTTCTTCCGAGACATTTTTGTTTGTTCAATTACACGGCACTACTGAAAGATTACCGCGTTGTACATGATTTTCATTCGTAATCACCCAAGCCCGAGTATCGTATCAGCAACTAACACAAATCATATTACATCGCAGCAGCACAGCAGTGCACTGGTAATAAAATAGTAAACCTCCATTTTCTCCCATATTCAGCATCGTCTCCCACTTGACCTAGATAGCATCGACACAATCTACAAGTATACTAGTCGGCAATTATCGCACAGACCGCCCCTTACATACATGCCACCCTCAGGTCTCTTTTTCTTTTCTTTTTTCTTATTTTCAGCTCTCAGCCATTTTTCGTTATGCCACTTTCAGCTTACGCAATCTACGCCATGAAGCAGAAAATAGAAACAAGCCACCATACCCGTGCCCGCTCTAGTTTAAAGCAAGGAGGAGAGACAAAAAAAGATTCTCGCCTTTTTTTTTTCTTTTTGCTTTTTCTTTTTGTTTCTCAACCTTTTTTTTTCCCCCTTACAGCGTTCTCCCCCACTTCCCGTTTCCCGTGTGCGCATATATCACGCTCCGAACGTACCCAGGCCTGGGGTACGCCAATCTTTAGTATGCACGAGGCGGCGTTTTTAGGTATCAAGGCAATGGTTGGATCCTACGGGCCACTGTTCCACGTTTCATTCAACAATGTTAGTGAGGGATTGATCGTTTTTTATTTCTTTCGTTTGTAAATTATAATGACAAGTCCTTGAACAACACATTACATTATATTAAACGCATGCAGCTACATTCTTATAGCCAACTCACTACCACCCACAGGGTTGCAATATCTACCCAAACAAGAGCTAAAGAACTCCCCTCCTCGATTTGGACCAGATTCACGGCTTTCGCTTGACATGTCTATAAATTTGGTAGCGACCCCATACCACACACCAAGCCAAAACACTCCAATGAAACGTCCGATACCCTTGTCGACGCCACTGTCTCTCGCCTCGCGGCTACTAGTCGCAGAACTGCATGTACAAGTACCAACGTACGTAGAACTCACGGCTCGGTGCTCGCGCTTTTTTTGGTTATATCACGAGACTCGTTCAGCACTTCATGCCACTGCCACCGCCATTGCTTGCTTCACATTGGTAGTGTATTGAAGCCCACGTATTCAGTAGATTGTCATGCGTTGGGATTTCTCCAGCTCGCCACTTTCTCTCTCGGCACGAATGAAGAAAAAAGAAATACTGCCACTAGCAGTGAAAGAAAGGCGTTGGGCTTGGCATGAGGCCTCAGCTGATCCCATCAAATCTCTCTTCGCTCCATCAGCCGCACGTGGCTTCAAAGGCGGCAATTCCAGTCTTTTTGGGGAAAAGAAGTGCCATGCTTATTAGCAAAGGGGAAAATGAAAGCGCCATCCGTCTCCTTAGTATGCACTTGGCAAATGTTGGCTTCAATTGTTTCATTCCAGTCTTATTCTCTTGTGCGTGTCATGGGTGCCCTGACTTTCCCAAGTTTCCATATTGCCGGGACTCATTCTTCTTCTTCTTTAAATCTTGTAGCCACGTAATGCTAGATAGTGGTATTTCATTCGTCATTAAGCTCAGGCCGAGGTATTGTCTTGCCTTGTCGCTTCATAGCCATCTCACCTTGGCAATGTGGTCCGTCTTCTTCTTGCTGCTCTTGACGAATCCCATGGCTCTCAACTCGGCCAGGCCTCGGTAGAACATGACCAGGGCTTTGCGTTCATCGTGCTGCTTCTTCTGCTGCTTCTCATCATCATCATCATCATCATCATCCTCGCTCTCTTCCTCCTTCTTCTCCTCCTCCTTATGCCCACTCACCAGTGCGTAAAATGCGGACCACAGATCTGCCACATTGATCAAACTGCCTGCCTCGAGATACAAGTGGTATAGGATAGACGTGGCTGGAAGTGTCGCCTGCATCGTACCGTCCTCTGCATCGCCGCCTTTGCAGCAGCTGCATGCCAGGTAGTCGTATGGCCGCGCCAAGCTGCGCTTGAATGTCACTCGAGGCCGTGGCACCATGACATCTCGTAGAGGCGATCTGCTGTCATACAGCCACGTCTCCGAAAACAGCACCTTGTCGGGGCGGCTTGCCCTGATGTGTGCAGTCAGCCGTTCTGTCACTGCGTCTACAATGTCTGTCAACTGCCTATCCTCATCGCGGAGGGCTGCAGAGTCACGGCTCAGTTGGACCCGCTGGGCAATGACCGTCGTCCGCATCACCTTGCTCTGGCTGCTATATTTGGTGAGCAGTGTGATGCCTGCGCTTTCCGCGTCTGATTCGAGCTGTTCTAGGCGTGATAGCGTCTCTCCTAGGAAGCTTAGTAGCGCGACGTCTTCTTCCCGTGATGCTGGTTGGAGATGCAAGCTCGGCTCTCCTTCCTTAAATATATATATAGCCCGACGCAGCAGGCCAATAAGCGCGCTTATGCCCATACGCCGGATGTATTCTGTTAGGCTACCATTTCCTGAATCAGGATATGTCGCAGAGAGGGAATCGACATACGCCCGCGAGAGTGGGGGCTGAATTGCTCCTGCAGCTTCCCTGACGAGGAGTGAGCGCAGATGGCCATCCATCCAGCCTTGTCGGCAGTCGTTACTGGCTCGGGCTTGTGAGAGCAGATACTCATCGTCCTCTATAAGCGAACGAGCATGTTGAAGGCTGTCAACGGTTGCGAGCCCAACGGCTTTTTCCACCTCGTTGCGGAACGAGGGAAGATATCTCAGCGCCTCGATGTGCTCGGCTTGTAGGATTTCTTCCCCTCCTTCAATATCTGGGGCCAGTAAGACGCTGAGGGCGTTGGCGTAAAAATGGCACATGTAAATGTACTGCGGTCGTCAGCTTCAAGGTCTATTTTTAGTTCGCAGATCAGTCTCACCTTCAAAGAGCTTATAAATGCCTGAATACCAGCCATATGGTCCCGTTGGCGATCAAGCATGCTCCTCAGGATCTGCGGTCCTAGCCTAAGGGGCACATCGCTGGATATCACAGTCCCTTTGAACACATTCTCCAAAATGGTATCTGTCTGAACGCAATCAAACTGCGCACCGTATATCAGGCGGCATGCTGACTTCAACAGGCGGCTTTCCAGTAGATCGATTGACGTAGCAATTCCAAACAGTAGAGTAAAGGGGATCTGCGGCCGCCATGAGCTGTGTATGTCTGATATTAGCAAACAAATCACACTCTTCTCGTCCCTCGACACCAGATCTGAATTCCACGTACCTAAGCAGAGCAATGATATCGGATAGTAAGCCGCTGTCAAATCCTTCAGAATCCTGGAACGCGACAAAGATGTTTTCGTGGGGTTGATGGCCCAGAAATTCATGCAGCGCCTCAAGGTCATACGGTAGGTATCGCCGATTTGAGCCCTGCCTAAGCTGCAAGTCTTCCTCGCCGTCGACTACCAGCGTCTTGGACGTCGCATCTTGAATAATCTTCTTCAGCGCATTCTTCAAATTGGTCGCTTCTGAAGACCGTAGCCTGATGAATTTGCTCGGCGAGGACTTCTGAAGTGAGTCTGACAGCTGCTCAAATAGTAAATCTTGAGAGGCGATGTTGGGCCCTGTGATGATGAAGGCAGAGGGTATCTTGTCGCCACTACGGGTTCATTGGTTAGATATCATTCAAAAGTTTGGCCTTGTGAAGCAGCCTTCGTAGTGAGGGGGGAATAATTAAGAAAAGGAAAGAATGGGCGAGAGAAAGGGAGCTAGCAATCCTCACCACTGAGCTTTTGCTTCAGTCACAAATCGCGACACGTCGTCCAGAGTCGCAGAGTTGGAGTCTCTCAAAATATCCTACCCACCGCATTAGCAAACTTATTCGAGCCATATCAGTTGAAACAATGCACAATACTTTGATACGAGCATCAATCACCGCCCACTTCTCCTCCAGAAGCCGCTCCCGTCGCCGCACGCAAGCCATGCCCTCTGCACCACTTAGCAAGGGAGTGAACCACAATGGTGAATTCTCCTCATCCTGTCCTGCTTCATTCTCGGTTGCTGAAGCTCTCTTGGCAGTTTTCCGCCTTTTAGGGGGCCTCTCTCGGCGTGGCGCTTCATTCTCCTCTGGATTAAAAATGAAGGCCACCTATATATGGTTCGAAGATGATTAGAACATGAGGCACGGAACGCGGTGAAAGTTCAGGGCCTGTTCTTCACTCACCTGGTGGTCTTCTTGGGTGAAAGTGTTTTGTGGATCTTCAGTCGACATTTTTCTTTCTCCCCCTTTCCGTCTATTGTCACAATAAAAGGAATTGCTTTTGCAGCAAGAAACTGGCCGCACTTGAACAGCGGGCTATTAGTCGACGATGGGCAAGCGGAGCGCGACTTGGCAGAAACACGGTTCGCTGTACAGTATGATACAGTGTGGATACTGTATCTGAAAAAGTCCCGGTTAGGTCTGGGCTACCATTCTGCAATCAGGCATCACCTTCTTGAATATGATGACGAAACAGTATCAAAAGCTTGAGTATTTCAATAGTGGCCAGAGTCTCAGTATTGGTTCTGGAACTAATATTGTACATTCTCAAGATATTCGTAATAACATTCTGCAGTGAATTTTTATATGCCCTTTCAGGTTGGAAGCTTTGCTATAGACAAGGGAGACACAAAATATCCAGCTAATGTAGTAAATAACAATGCACGTACAGAGAGAAATATGAACACAAAGTCAATAGACGAGTCCTGTGATATTACACATACGGCAAAGACAGCAGAGGTGCTAATAAGATTGTAGTGTAGTATATGAATCTTGTGACTCTTCGGTACAAGATTGATATGCGCGATGCTTACAAACGATAGCATAACATTAAGCCCCTCTCACAACTCGCGTACACTTGCATACATACAACCTCATTGATCATCGTACATCGCTGAATTTCATAAACTAAATAGAGCTTTGATTCTCAACGCGAAAAAAGCATGCTTTCCTGTCCTTCCCACCCCAACCAAAGCATCCTTTGACCCCCGGCAGTAACAATCACCACACCCTCAAAAAAAAATTGAGCAGCGCGAAAATCAACAAGTACAAATGTCTCATTCTCCTCAGGCGTGGCCCCCTCATCCCCCTTGAAAAGCTGCAGTCACTCCACATTTCATTTCCTTCCCATGTGTTGCGTATGCTGGATTTGGAACACCTCATGCTGGGTACTAGCAGTACTCTTTTCCTCTCACCTAAGACGTCTTCTCACACCACATCAATAGGGTTGCTCCAAGAGAAAGAAAATCAGTTGAGCCTTTCTGTCCATCTTTCGATTTGCTCATCCATGTTGGTGACTAACTGTGCACCACAAACCAAAGAGTAAACTGTGACCCCTTTTATAGTATAAGAAAAAATGTGCGAAATGATAATAATAACAATGAGTCCGTTGCGCCACACAAGAAATAGAAAAAAAAAAATAGAGGAAAATAGGTCAGACATTAAGAAGAAGATGTCCTTGACTACTCTGCTGCATCGGAACCGAGACACAGAGACAGTAGGCGTTTTCATCATCAGATTTTATCAGATTACTCGGAAATTCTTAGAGCTCAAGCAGCGGCTTCAACTGCTGCGGAAGTGGGAGCCTGTTGCAAAGAAAGGTTAGGGTCTGTCTGTCAAATATTTGAAGGATGGTGTCATCTCACTGCCTCGGCCTCGGCCGTTTCGTCCTTCTTCTCGCTCATGTCTTCCTTGGCTTTCGATTCTTCATCTTTGGCTGTGGTCGTGGCGGTCGCTTCCTCGTCATCGCCTTTAATCTTCTCGTCATCGACCTCCTTCTTTTTGTCGTCGCTCTCCTTCACTTCGCCATTTCCCGTCGCCTTACTGGAGTCCTTGGATTCAGAAGCTCCATTGACACCATTCGCCGTGTTAGCGGGCGCAGGATCGCTAGCAAGTAGCTTGTTCCACTTATCCAGCAGAGCTTGAGACCTCTTCTTGAAGTTGAAGTCCTCCTCACGAGGAATTGAGTCAAGCTTCAGAATTGCCTTGAAAACCTTGTTGATCTTAGTGCCCCGAATAATTGATACATCAAGATCTTGGAAATTCTCGAGGATAGTGATGAAGCTGGACATCGCCTCCATCTCATCTTCTCGTGGCTGCTGCTCCCGTGTCAAAAGACCTCTTTGGAGCTTGTGGCGCAGGTACATAATCTCTTTCTACATATTTAGTTAGTACATATTATCCATCAATTTCTCTCCACAACGTGATATTGAACTCACCTCCTTGCGCAGATGTCGCTCCTCCGCAGACAATTTGGGCTCTTTGGGCGCGTCAGATTTCTTGTCGGCTCCCTTTTTGGGCTTGGCCTTTGCGACCTTTGCAGGCTTTTCTTCTTTAGTCTTTGGCGCTGACGTTCCGTTCGCAGCCTTTGATGCAGACGATGATGTGTTGAGCTTGATCTTGGGCTTCTTGACGGACTCAGAACGTTGAGGAACCTAATCGCGATTTCGCGTTAGTAAATCAAGCAGCCTGTCACATAAATACGATGAAAAGAGCGGAACTCACAGCAGCTTCTTCGTCGGCCGCCTTTCGCTTCTTTGGCTTAGCCTTTGGCGCCTCTTCCGCATCCTCCATATCCACGTCTTCATCCTCGTCAGTTACCTTCGCCTTGCCTTTCTTGGACTTCTTCGGAGTAGCTGCAGCTTCTTTCCTCGCCTCTTCCTGCGCAATCAGCTCATCCTGGAAGCTTTGTAGAATCGCTCTGTAGTGCTCAATTGAGTTCTGCTCAATCGCGAGCTCGAAAGCTGCCTTTAGATCCTTTCGCATCTTGTCTCCAATTGTATCCCGAGCCTTATCCGCAGTCAATTCGGATAGGGCAGTGTTCGCAACCCATCCACTGGAACCAATCAGCAACAGCCACGACGCGCAGATTAGGGAGATTGCATGACTCACAACTCATTTGTATACAGGTACATGACGGGAAAGCTTCGATCGTTCACTCGCTTACCGCCATCCGCGTAAGCTTCGGAGTAGGATCCGTCGGGGCGTGCCGCGGAAACTGGTCTGGTATTGATGAGAGCTTGTGGGAGCATGTCCTCATCGCAGATAATGGCGGGCCAAGCCGGGAAACCCTTGAGCTTCACCAAGAAGTGATCGCCAGGCTGGGCATCAATGTGCGTAAGGCGTGCCTTTGAGCCCTTCTTGCTCAGGGTCTTGCCCTTTGACTCTCCAGCAGTCGACTTTCGTCGACCCCCCTTGCCCTTCGCAGCAGCTGGAGTCTCGGCGGCGGCAGCAGCTTCAGCTTCAGGCTCAGCAGCAGCAGTGTCGGCAGCGTCTTTCATCTCGGCATCGCCGTCCGCATCGGTCTTCTTCTCGTTCTCAGCTGGCTTTTCAGTTGCGGCCTCGGCAGCGTTTTCTGCGCTTTCGGGCGCCTTGGGTTCTGCTGTAGGCAGCTATTGTTAGCGCAATTTCATGGACCAAGGAAAAAAAAGGGAAGATAATTGAAAACAAAAAGAAAAAGGGCAATTTAGAGCTTTGTTGTTATTTAGAATTGCAGAATAAAAGAAAAACCAGCAAGACTAGAGCTTTGGACGTGCGCGAAAAGCTCGCTGCACGCGCGTTGGGGAAGCTCACCTGTAGCTTCCTTTGCTTCCTCCATTGTAGCATCACCCGCTTCCGCCTTATCCACAGTCTTGGCGGCAACTTCTCCCTCGCCAGCGAGCTTATCCTTGGTGCCAGCAACAGGCGCAGCGACGTCGGGCTTCTCCGGGGCGTTATCTGCCATTGCGAAACGCTGGGTGGCGATGCGCAGCTTCCAATGGCTGAGAGACACAGGCAGATCTCGCGCGAAACGGCACGAGGGCTCGAGGCAAGCTTCAGAATCTAGCGTCGGACGCGTTTCGCGGCGTGTTTATGCGTGTTCAGCGGTGGCGCAAGGCGGGTTGCGTGATGAGACTGGGAGCTCGGCGGATGAAAGGCGCAGTTGTCTCGTTCAGCGTCGCCCGCGTTTGTGCTAGGATTGATGTGGGTGACAAAAGGAAAAACACTGGAGCGAATAACGAACCGCAGGAACACGTCAAAAACGTCACTGAGTCTGAATCCACATCACGTGACTCGCTTGGTGTGGTATTATAACGGCGATGGACCATAAGCACCCCAAAACCCGCGATTTGCAATGCCGAGGCGCCATAGGGCAACGGCGTTTCCGATGCCGCTACGCTGGACAACTGCCTCTGGCTCGCATGGGTCGTTGCGACCGTCGTCATTCGACCGCCACAGCAGACGGCGCCTTGGACGTCTGCCACTCATCTCGTAGCTCCAACCCTGCCTTGCAGAGTTGTCGCCCTGACGACCCAACCACCTTGGGCCTCGAAACTGCTGTTCCACAACCGCGCGTCACCACAACCCCTGTTTTACCTGGAAAACTCTACGTAAAGAGCAGATCATCGTCATGAGGGTCGCGGTAAAGCCAGAACCAGAATCAGGTGATCGTGCCAACCAAGTCTGGGCAAAAATAAAATCACATATTCAGATTGTATCCGTAGCTTGCCTTTACTGTACATAATCGTTCTTTATTCCAGATATTAAATGGTAGGAGAGCGCGCGCCGGCATCTACTCCTCGCCTTCGTCATCGTCCTCGTCCTCGTCGTCCTCGTCCACATCCATGCTCTCTGCTGCCGTCACTGAAAACTCCCGCTCTTGGTCCACCCCGATGTAACTATCACTCATTAGGAACAGCTTGAGGTTGTGCTCACCAGGAGATGGCACAGTGTATTCCAGCCGTACGTTCAGCTCGCGGCCAATGGTAACTCGTTTGATCGCCAGCAGGTTTCGAGACTTGTCGTCGCCCACAACCAGCCACCAATTCTCCATCTTCTTGGCTGGATAGAATGGTGCATGCACTGTAGAGTCGTGTTCATCATCCTCCTCAATGTTTCGAGTGATTTTGATGTTCAGATACGACGGTTCGCCCGCTCTGATTTCATCCTCCTCAAGAACCTCGTGCTCCAGTTCCAAGTCAGGATACTTATCATTTGTGAACTCTGCCGCTTGTGCTAGCTGTTTCTGCGAAAGACCCAGTTGCTTGACCAATTTGTTATAGTCTGCGTTTTCCTCAGGATTCATGGCCTCCATGAAGTCGAAAATGTCCTTGATTCTATAGACACGAGTTAGCATTGGTTCCTTTATCCGGGATGATTCATCGAAACAATCTGGCACATACCCAAAGTCATTTGCAACCTTTACGACCTCTGGAGAGAAGTGAGGAATCTGCTTGAGGGGGCTATCTCGATCC